TATCTCGACCCATAAGCTTTTTGTTGTACTTCTCCCCTGTCTAGCTAATGAGGGCAGTGATACAGCGGCTCTGGTGGGCACCTGGCCCCTAGCCAGGGTCAACCCACCACAGAGAGAAATCTCGACGAAGCAGTAATACTGCCCTTTATTCAGCAGAGTGTAACGCCAGCACCAAATAGCACCTGAGATGCTAGAGTTGCAACTGCTACAGCTCCAGACTGACAGCATCTGAGCTGATACCTCCTGCACCAAAAGCCACATGAATGAACTAGGAGATTCTGAAGATCTGGAAGTGGTCAGAAGTAAATGCATTTTGGCTATGTTGATGTTATTTCAACTGGTCTACAGTAATCCACAGTATCCAGGCATCAGCATTCTGTTGTATTCCCATCTGCATTTTAACTTCAGAACTTCTATATCCAAACACATTTATTTTCCTTTCACATCAACACATCTACAGCCCCTTCTTCTTCTCAAAGCAAGCCATATTTGCTATTTCCCATTCTGACAGTCTTCCCTTTAGGCCTGCATCCCACTTCTGTTACCCCAAATGCCTAATTCTTCAGACGTAGGAAGAAGAAACAAAAGGATGAGGAAGATCACGTCTCTTCCTACGCACACATAGAAGGGAAGGCTTTCAACATGTTGGTTGCTGTAAAAATTGTACAAGCTTTCAAAACTTCTTATACCACACAATCCCTGTCATCTCATGGGAGCAGAGTTCAGAATGAAGGTTTAATAACATGGCCTTCTACCCAAAGTCTGAGGACAACACTTTTAAGTAGTGCCAGCTGACTGTCTTAACAACAAAAGTCTTTGAGGTCACTGCAACTTTAAGACAGGTTGATCCAGACATATCCTTTTGTTTTTTCTTTTGTGAGAAATGTCCTTTTGCATAATGGATTGTGTATTGATCTATTGCTATATTATAGGACCAACATACTTCAGAAACTCACAGAGCTGGGTTCTGCTTATAAACCCAAGAAGAACGACCAGTTTCTATCTACAAATTGGCCTTTGGTTGAAACTGGTAACTTTGACACGGAAGAGAAGTTACACAAAGGAAATTAGTATTTCACAAGTTCTTTCAAAATTAGGATTAGAAAGATTCATAAATCCTTCAAGACTTATTAATGATCATAGATCTGAGGGTTCTCTGTACAGACTGAAAAGAGCATCTACTGACTAATGGAAGATTTACTGAAAGGACAAAAAATGAACAAGAGATGTTAATCAAAAATACAACAGAGAATGAAGGTCTGCATATTCAGTGTTGGCTTTATTATACACTATAGACAAGTATTGTGTCATCACATTAACATTCAACTTCAATTAGCTTGCAAAGTATCAGTGCTCTGTTTCCAACAGAAGCAGCTTTCCTGTGCTTTACTATTTGAAATAAACACAGATTAACAATGAATACACAAAACTATTCTTAACCTCATTAAAGTCATAGCTTAAAATGCAACCTCAATAGCACAAAGTTCAGCTACATTAACTTCCCTAAAATTCAACTATACTTTTCTTTCCAGAAGACTAAGTACCCACAGCAGCAAGCAAAACTGGCTTGTTATACGAAGACATGTTAAAAAAAACCAACCAACACCACCAACTCCTACAGTTCCTGCTGTATTTGTGGCTCCTTGGCCTCCTCACAGAGAAAAGTGGCTGCTATATATTTTGTACACACAACTGCAGACTACAAGCTTCTTTGCAAGCAGGCAACTACACTGACTTGATTTCATGACATTTTTTTGATCCTAAAATTAAAATCACACATCTATTTTAATTCCATATTACAACATACTTACTCTGCCATTACATGTCTGACGTTATTGGCATATAACACTGGATTTTTTCTTTCTTCTTCTGAAGGAATATACACGGGTAGAAACTGCATAGAGAGAACTGAATTATACCAAGAATATTTAACATTTTAAACAATCGCTATTATAGCACTATAGTTAAAAATGTATACAGTTTGTTGCAACTTACAAAACTATAACAACAAAAGGACTACAGAAAATTAAAAATGGAACTGTTCAGTGCTTAAGGAGGCATCGTACTTCTAGAAATTCATACAACGGTGACTCTGCTCATTTGTTACCTCATGGAACCCAAGGAGAGTTTTAGCTTTCTTTCAGAAGTGGGACCAGGAATTTTTAAATAATTTAAAAGTATTAGCATTTTCTTGCACAAACTTTTATCTTATATCCTGTATTGTTCAGTTCTTTCCAGACAACAAAGAAAAGTACCTGCTACATGAACATTGTTCTATAGCTTAAATATTAAGAATTCAAATTCTCAGGACATCCGGTATTGACTGTTCCCCCTGCACATTTTGAAATCATATATGACTGCTTAATGTACATATCAGAAGTGTTATCTTCTGTTGTTGGAGGTTTTGAAAAAATTCTCCTTCAAATTGGACACTAGTTATTAATACTCAATTGAAAGAAAAATTCTAAACAAATGCAGATCGCCACAGAATCACAGAACGGTTGAGGTTGGAAGGGGGGAATTAAACCAGAACTACTGGAGACCTGCAACAGAAAAGGCAGCTTTCAGAATGGATGGCCTATATTAAAAGACCTTCCAGCTTTTGGCTGGTTTTAAGAGTTCATTGAAATATGATGTGAGCCTCCAGATCATGGCCAGTCTCACCTATAAAACCCTCAAAACATCCCATTTCTGCCAAGTAACTAACTTCTCAGATAGAAGGAACAAGAAGGGATCACTCTGATTCCCACCCCTGCTCATTATCAGATAGACGATTCCCTTAGTAGTGCAATGCAATGAGATAATTCATGCACTAAGTGATCAAAATGTTCATAATCCTGTGGAAATCTTCTGAAGTAGAAATCAAAGTTGGAATAAGCTTAGTTATATTTCATATAATTAATTATAGGCAGTACAAAACAGGAATTATGATTCAGAAATTTTACACTGGTCTTTATAAAGTTTATCATTTAAGCAAATACTTCTCAGTAACTATGAAGCTGGCTGTATTTTCAGAATCACATAATGGTACGATCAGCAGTACTCAAAATGCTGCCATTAGATATTTGTCTGGTTCTTAGAGCTGATTTGAGTTTTGTTACAGTTTTCCCTATTACGTACCACTGCAACTGAAAACATACGACTCCTGTCTTCTAGGTTTACCTCGAAGGTACACCAGCCTGATATACAAATGGACGAAGACTGTTCAGCTAACAGAAGGAAAGATTGTTCCTTCAACTTCCAAGCCCCATTCCATTTCTTTGAGTTGCAAATTGCTATCAAGTTATTCATGCAAACACAGGACAAGTTTGAATACGAGGCAATTTCAGAGGTGTTCTAAATGTCTGTGCCTAACTGGACAGAAAGAGCACGATCATTTCAGCATCACTAACAAAACTAAGAGAAGAACTCTCAGCTGCTGCAGACTGTGATGGATGTATGAACACCGAAGCTGACAGGCCAGTAAAACAGACTGACATGAGCCAAAACAAACTATGTGTGCAGCTGATCATGTATCCTTTCTGTTCTCAAGATTGCTTGCATGCCAGTTTCAAGTACAGGATGGATGGAGCAATATTTATAGTAACCTATTAAAAAAAAAAATCTACATAGATGCTTGCTTCTCAATATACATGCTGGATGACACGTATAGTATGCCAGAACACATATTATATGCAAAGAAGCCCTGACTAACAAACTTTGGATCCTGATTGCTGGCTGTTAGACCTTACTAGTTATCATTTAATCAAAAACATACTGAAGTTGTGTTGTTTTGCTGTACATCTCCCTGAGTTATTGGATCTTCAGCAGTAATTCTGGTATCAAGGCTGGTTGGTATTTGCCAGTATCCCTGTGCTGATGGAACAAAGCAGGAATAAAAGCCAACAAACTTTGGAGAGCAGGGGAAAAACATGACTTTGAACACTGAAGAACTATTTTTTTTCCTCTACATTCCTAAATCTGCTGCACTTCCTTACAAAAACAGATTTAACAAGTAGCTGTCAAGTACTCTGTCTCATACTTGCAAGCAGACTTGTAAAAGCTCTGCTCCTCTGCCAGCTCCTGCTTTAGTATGGAATAATTCAGAAAGTCATTAGCTTTTCTGTTTTTTTTAAAAGACCACCAAAGATCATAACTTGTCCTTACACAAGATGTGTATGAGCTACAGAAACTCATCATCTGCTAGCAGCTGCTGCCTCAAAAATCAAGAAAGCTCAGCAGTGTTCACTTCTGTGTGAAAGTACCCATTTTACCGGCCTAGGGCAAAAAACCCCACGTTCCTGAGATAGAGTAAAAACCCTACCAATCAGCTGGTTTGTCTTATCCCTGTGTGAGGCAGTGACTCCCTGGCCCTTCTACCAAAACCAGACCACTATTTAAGAAATAAGATTTTTTTTTTTTTAATATACACTATTAATAGCTGAAAACATGCAACTAAAGTGATAATACAAACCACAAATTTCTACAACACATACAGCTGCTCAGTGGCTGGTATTTTGTGCATTCATTTTTGAGAAGAGTTTATAGCATTAAGAAGTAAACAGAGTACAGAAATGATAAATACTGTGATTAACATATGTTATAAGCTACTATTGTAACATATATGTATATGTAAATATGTAATAGCTCTTCCTACTAATTTACCCTGCCAGAGATAAATAGCTGCTTCATTATTAAAAAAGTAAGCAAAAGAATTGCAGAACATGTCAAATATCCTATATCACACCTTTAAAACACCATACTTCTCCACAAAAATGTAATTACTCTCTGTAAAATGCATAAGAACAGCAATTTAAAAGGAAAGGTTTTAATTGTTTTTGCATTTTCACTACAATAGTCTCCAGCCTCAGGCTCACATAGTGCTTTCCTCAAAACAAAATTAAAAATATACATAGATTTTTCTTTGTGTTTTCCAATTTCCCATTCTGAACAGTGCAGCCTATTAGAAAAATTAGCCAGACATATTAAATAACCTATCCGCCATATAAGAAACCACCTACAATGATTTTTCTCTACAAGATAGACCTTATTTTGTACATCAGCATTCACACACTCGGATATCTAACATACACAGTTGGTATACTAACTGGAATAGCAATGGGGCCATTAAAAGGCAAGAAATTTGTTCATAAAAGATTCTTTAAACCGAGTCAGAAATCTATTTAATTTAAATGAATAGCAAAGTAACATCTTAAGCCAAGTAGAAAACTATATTCTGTTATTCCATTTTTAGGCTACATTTTGAGATATGGAAGCCATTTGTCTAAAATAGAAGGTGTATTTCAACCTGTTTTTCCAGACTGTGTTAACATACAAAGTTTGAATACCAGCTTTTATTGTAGAATTAAATACAACATTATGTATTCTGATACTGCTCAGAATACACTGTTTTGTTTGGTTTTTTTACTGACCTCAATTTCCACAGAATTGTGAAACTGACACAAAGTAAGCCACAGAATTTCTAACCTAAAGGGAAAAAAAAAAAGGAAAAAGTAAAGAGGAAAAAAATTTATAGGTAGTGCAACAGTAGTACATTAAGCTCCAAAGTCTTCAAGTAACATTCCTACTTGTAGGTATGATCATATTCAGATAAAAAGTTAACAGAAAAGGTATTTGAGACTACTTCTGTACATTACATTCAGTAAGGTGGAACAAAAGCAATTTACACTGAAGTTGCATCTTAAAAGATACCCAAAAGCAGGAAGACAAACAGTAATATGATATACAGGTACTAATATGTACAGTAAGATATGATGTATGCATAGTGTGTATAGAAAGAGTAAGTCTGTTTCAGGAAAATGCTGTATTCAGCGTGGAGTTGGCAACATTAATTATAACCACTAAGATTTTATCATTACCTTGGTTTGGAATCAAAGTTCATTATACTGCGGAAGTCTGTTAATGAAATGCAGTACATGCGTTTTAGTAGCCTAAGACACAAGATCCTGGAATCAACTTGACCTTAGAAAGCAGTAAGATTCAAATCCAGGAAAGGATTTAGTAAACCTAAATTAAGGAGTAGCGTTAGTAGCCACATTTTACACAGTATCTAGGTAGTGACAGCAGTCAATCATTGTGAGGGGAAGGCTAGTCAAAATCCTCTTAGGTTGATAAAGCGCAGTTCCTAGAAGCAACACCCTACTCATTTTGCTATCCACTCATTCAGGGCTGCAACACATTTCTTTTCCCTTCTTTCCTACTGAACTTCCAATGCATTAAAGCAAATAAAAGGAGCAAGAACAACAGTGGAACTTGTGATTTGAAGTTTACATCACACAGGAAATGTCAAAGTCTGGTTTTTAGGTCCTTGAACAAGAGCATTAAAAAACCCCAATAAGTTACAAGTAAACTTTCCTTTCTGCCAACTCTCTGTAATCCTCAAAGGTTAGATCTTACATTATAAATATCAATTTAAAAACCTGATAAAAACTGTATCTAACTCAAGTCCAATGCAGAGAAAATTTAAGTTGTATGTTATAGTCAATCTTTGTTTTCAAGGTAGAGTCAGTTGATCTGCTCTGAATAGAAACATTACTTTCCCTAAGTGTAGAAGAAAGTGTATAGTTTCCATGTGACAAGTTTTCAATCCATTTTATAGGGTACACCAACTTTTAACAAACAGAATACTCCTGGATACAGCAACATTTCCAGGTGAAGTTTTAGCTAACACTGTGACAGAGAAAGAGATGCATTTGCTGACAAAGTGAAGACTGTTAACAGTCTTAACACTATTTTCTGCTAAGACATCAGAAATACATTTTAGGTCACTCAGGAGAATTAATCCTAGCAAAATAAAGCTGTAATTTAAAGTGACCGAGTGAATTTGCATAACATCACCTGTTGCCTCAGATTCTGATTCAGCTTTAATTTAATTTAACTTTCTTACCAGAGGTCAGCACTTCTGTATAATGGGTTTGTACACATTAAAGTGACCTGAGGCAAGACACAAGTTCCTTCCCTTTTCCTACTCCTATGTGTTCATGACTCCTCAGTAGGACACTAAGCTGGAAGTAAGCTACTCGCCTTTGTCCCCTCTGGTGGAGTTAATTTGCTAGATGAACTGCAGTGCAAATGCAAGGGAAGAGGTAGGAGCTCACAAGGAGAGAACAGAAATCCCTGCATGCAGTAAATGCTGCAGTGCCTACCTACTTTAGACACTATCATGGATTCATCTACTTCCAACATGACGAATTAATTGAAAACTGAAGTTTTAAAAGTGATCAATGATTTCCTCAAGTCTCCAAATCTAGACATGTCCTTACTTAGGCCTGGCTCCCAGTCCATTTGAAGGTGCACCATTAATTGATAAAATTCTAAATTACTTGAATCTTGGCTAATCCCAACGGTTCCCTTGTTACTATTAAAATACAGGAACTCAGGTGGGATATTCAAAACAATAGTTCCAAGGAGGAGGCTAACAGTAAGTCATTAAACCATAAAATCCAACTACTCTTTACTTAAGGTTCAAAATTACTTGTTTTGATCTTCATCTAAATATTTTAGACCTTCTACTCCAACCTCAATGTGAAAATAATGCTAAAACCCATATTTTTTAAACAAGCAAGAACTGCTTCATTTAGTATTTTACATTACATGAATTTGCTAAGGAACCTCTAGAATAACATTTTGTTTTAAAAAAAAAAAATCAAAGTTACAATTGGGCAAGAAAATGGAAACAGTATATCCAAATTCCCTGAGTGGGTTGACTGTTTTTGTAGTACTAGACCAATTTCAAACAACAGCCATATAGATTTTATACAGAAACACACCACATCGATTTGCAGGCAACAGAATATGTACAGCAAAAGCAAGTTGTTTTACTTCAGGTACTTGGCTAAAAAAAAAATAATATTTTGAAGTAAAAACCTAAAATCCATTCTGCAAATCACTGAAAGCATCGCAGCAGAAGTACACTGTTTATACCTGGATTCCTCTAACTGGATATTATCATAATTAGGGAATAACAGATAAAAGACAAATCAATCCCAAAGAATAATCCAATAACCAGCAATTACTACTTGACTGTATACACGTATAAGTCATGTAAATAAAAACTAGAGAAGGAAAGCAATCATGATACAAGCAATAAAACATAAACCACTCACGCTCCTGGTCCCTGCCACGTCCACGTGATTGTATCCTACAAAAAGAAGCATGACGGTTGCAATTAATTATTGTACTTTAAACTTTTGTTACATTATAGATAGTATAACTGATGACATACGACTAAAAGATTTTCATGGACACTTCAATGCCCTCTTTGCAAAAGTTCTTAGCCCGAACAGGAATCAGCCTATCTTTCACATGGCAAGGAAATACCCAGTAACCCAGTTCTTAAACACAGACTATCTATATTCATAAAACATTTAAAGATCCAGGGATTCTTCAAATGCTGTTAGCCTTGGAAAAGAAAAAGTTATTTACTGTAAATTAATGTTCCTCGATATGCATAATCCATGTGTATATTCCTAATCCACCCTGCTCAACAGGACATCCCTCAAGGATCCCTACACTTCACTTGGACCTCCCAGCAATAGATACGAACACTCTAACACTTCTGAAGTGTTTGGGACCTGTGGAGATGACCTAAAGGAAGTCTGCTCAACTGACATGAAGCAGTAGGATGAGTAAGACCTTATGTCTTACCTCAGGACAGTATTTTTCCAGTTGCCTTTACTCACTGACAGCAGGTATCCACCTGCCTGATCAAAGAATCAAAAGGTATGACACCTAAAACCCACCAATTTACTGTCAGGCAAGACCAGCAGCACTTTTAGACAGTGAGATGAATAGTGTGTGAAACACTAAGAGGACAAATAGCAGTGAAAGAAGTGAACAAGATGCAAATAGCAAAAAGGGAATAGAGACCTGTGAAGGAGTATATAACAGGTCACAAAGAGTATGACAGTAAAGGTCATCACATTTTTAACTGTAAGACTAAGAAACAGCGTGGGAAAAAAACTGTAATACTTGGAGATGAGATTTAAGCATAGAAGAAAGAATCCAAAAACCTGAAAATGACTTCCAAGCTACTATTCTGACCAACTGGGAAAAAAAACCATACAAGTCATTAATGGAAAGACAAGAGGACTTGGTAAATTCAGGCTTCTAAAACACCAGATCAGAAGGGCTGACAGCTATAAGTGCTGTGTAGTGGAAAACAGGATTCTGGTCAGCAAAAGACAGACCTATTTTGTAGGAGACTCTTGCGAGCATATCCAATATTTTTATGAAAAAAACCCCAGCAAGTAGAAGACAGGAAGTGGTATTTTCCATACCTAGTTTAGATACCTTTTGTATTTATCATAGCTACTAGCTTATGCTTATGGACACCATTCACTTTGATAGCATTCTGAGTACACTTTGAAACTTCTGTATCTAGATAATAAATCCTTTGAACTGTGTGGAAGCGTATCTTCCATATAATTTGTATTTGACACAAGAAGACACCGAGAATCATGCCAAGCTTCAAACAGCAAATTGGCTGTGTTTTTACATGCTCAGTCCACCCTGATACACCAAAGCTGCAGAAGAGATGCTGCTAAACCTCTTATCAAATAGCACAGTTACCAGGGGAAGACACTTGGACATAAAAATACATTCAAAATAGCTCTATGAAAGGCTACATACCTATTTAAATATCACAATTACTAGCACTCTGACAGAATCTTCAAATTAAGGAAGAGCTGTATACATGAAGAAAATTGTGTAAAAACAAATTGCAAAAAGGATTGTTGTAGAATCTATGGATGGAGACATTAGAGCATTTATTTTAATCAGAATCTAGGTAATAGCTGTCAAGCATCCAATAGGCAAAATACTTCCAAACTAGATAAACAGAAGCAAATTTTGAATTTCAGGCCTAAACAACATTTTAAACCTTAAAATTTCTTTCTGCTTACGCATCAAGAGAAGCAACATACTGACATACTATTCCTAAAGAAACATTGATACAACACCAGAGGCATTATCTACTGCAAACAATCACAAGCCCGAGGAAGAAAGGTATTCAGAGGGCAACCCTGACTAGAAAAAGAGTTCTTCATGGCAACCAGAACTAGATTTATTTGCTAGAAAAGAAGTGAATTTTCATCATCACTTTTACCACGTTTCAGTCCACTGCAGAACAGTAGTACTTTCCCTAGGTCTTGAATAGAGCACAAGGAAATAAACATGTAAGAGTGCACGTGCTTGCTACATTCACGCCAGGCTTTGATCTCAAAAAGCCTCCCAAAAGAGTCAGGTGCTCTCAAGTCCAAGACAGTTCTCACCTGCACTGTGGAACTCAGAGCTCTGAAGGTAGATCACAGTAGGCAGTTCAAGCTAAAAGCAGCGGGGTGACTGCACACAACACATCTGGAATTCACTGGCTAAGCAAAGGTCTTAAGAAATTCCTTTCTAAACTTAGTATTACAATATGCAGCGGTCAAACAAGACAACAAATAGGAAGCCAGAGACAACTGAAGTTTGCTAGAAATGATGTCTTAGTGTATGAAAAACAATGTTCTCTCCACACTCTGTTGTTCTTGCTTGCTAACTCTTCACTGCATCCTAACCAAAATAAACTTCACTTTCACGTATCACATCATACTCCTTCCTCCTCTCATTCTAACTTTTCTGCAATTCTGCAGCCCCCAAGCTAATCTAAAAATCAACTAACAATAGCAATTATCCCCTGCCTCATTAATACTTAGTGTACGTAGACCGTAGAAGGTTAAAAGACTCAGTAAGGCACTGAAAACTAAGTGTTTTACAGCAATCAAAAGTAGTAGGAAAAAGTAAAGTTTCATACACAGATTCAGGCCAATTCTGATGAATGTCTATATAAATATTTATACAGTTGCTTTCACAACATTTTGCAGTAATATAAAAAGCGTTCATTAAAATTCATGTTGATTTACTTCAATGTAAAAAGCTCACAATTTCTGTTAATAGACTACTAGGAACATCTAATATTAGTTTACAAACACTGTATATTATGTACTACTAGGCAATAAGGACATTTCAGTATGAAATTAAACTTATTCATAACAATATAAAGCTATCAAATGTTAATATTAACCAAAAGTAACAAGATATATTAAGTATGACATAAGCTATGTGCATATTTGCAATTTAAACTGGCAGTGCAATAAAAGTTTAAAAGTATTTTTAGAAAAGGTTCTTTTTTCCTGAAAATAAAACAATTGTGATTATAAGTCCCAGGCAACCTGCTACAATGCACTTAATACTATGAGAGCATAAGAGGCTGCTATACTTGTCACAGCATCCACAAAGATAATTTTGGGATTTCTTACTGCAAACTAGTTGACCGCCATCACACCTTGTCTCAGTCAAGAGCAACTGGTGGTGTTTACATATTAACTTTGCTTAGGTTCCTTTTTTTTTTTAAGATCAAGCATATGTTTTATATCAACCTGTAAACTGACAGAATGGACAATGGATAGAAACACAAAACATAAGCACTCAGGTACCAGGAGGAAACAAAATCCATCCTTAGATCAAGGGGTTGTGAATGGGCTTGTTAAATAGAGATGACATGACATCTTTTGACGTCACATGCATCAGCAAAGAGGCAAAATACTCTTTACTTTACTTCCGACACTCCTCCCATCCTTCTCTAAACCTGTATTTTAGAAGGGGACAGGCTGGACCTGAAAACAGCCCCAGAGGGGTCAAAAAGTAACTTCAAGTATAAAAAGCTAGCAAAGTTCACTAGGAAGCATCTTCTAATTAGCCTAGGAATGCAGACAGACAAGATTCTGGCTGCAGTAGGACAGGAAAGTGTCTACATCAAGTAAACCGAATAACAGTAATAATAATTAAAAAAAAATCTTCTGTGCTTTCCTGTAGGCTTGATCTTGAAGTAGCTGAAGCGAGCTCTGTCTTAATTTGTTTGCCTATATCTTTACAAGCATTTGGAAAAATTGTTTAATTTAGATATTGTAAATAACCACTGTAATTTGCATTTTGAATCTGATCTATATTGAAGGCCAACTCCAAATTAGTTAGCGTCTAGCATTCCTTAACCAAGTGCACAGTGAATGTAAAACATAGACAAGATAACACCTTATAAAGATGCTTAGGTCCTCACCACATTATTCTATGATTATTATAAATTTGTGACTAATACCCCCACAGGCAGGAGGTGCAGAAGCATCTTCCAGCAATAACTGATATGAAGAAAACTCTCCAGCATACACTGCAGTAAGAGGGACCACATGGGAACACAGATCCTAGATAGAAATTGACATTTGTTTTGTCATTTGTACAGTACTACTTGTGACAACTTGAGTAACTTTCAGAGCACTGTTTAGGAGTAACCTAATAAAAGCATAAAAAAATTGTCTCAGACTATTTATATTGCTAGAGGCTTAAGGAATACACACTTAACCAGTAAGCATTTATTAATGTTTTCCAAATTTCTAAACCTAATTATCTAACCTAAAAGATTACATAAGTAATGTATTTAGAGGAAAGTGCCCCATATATCCAACAACACTGCAAGCTGAACTTACCAGTTTGTTTGGATAACGTAAAACCACTGGCTGTACAGGAACTCCAGGAATAAATGCTCCTAGAAGGCACATATGACACATAATTACTTTATAGTGCATTTTGGTACAAAAAAAAATTATTGCAGCAAAGAAAAACTTTATACAATTAATGGATTGATATGCACAGAAATTGATAGTGAAAAAATAATATCCAAAAGTAGCCTCAAAAGTAATCTAAAAAGCAAGCACTGGAGAATGACAATGTATACCCATCTTTTCAGCAGATAAGTAATTAAGAATGCATGCTTACATTCTCTAAATTATCCTCTACTACTTACATAAATTGTCATGTACACAAGTCAAAGCCCAGTACCAAATTCAGCTTGATAAATGATTAAAAAAAGATGAGTATGAGCAAGATAGGTAAGTCAATACATTCCCTGTAGTCAACAGTATTTTTTGGTGAAGAACCTAAGCTTTCTTGGGCAAAAGAAGCTTTTTATTTTTAGCCGAGCAACATAAATTTATAGGAAACCTATCATCTCTGAAATACAGAATTAATGTAACTTCTATTCTGTACCTGTGAAAATCTAATAAAGTATTGAACTAGAGCTATTGTACAGAAGTATTGCTTCATTTCATATGAAAATTACAGCTTTGATAAATAAGTAGCACAAGATCTGTAAGTGTCATTTGCTAATAATTTTCTTGGTTTCTAGCACAAAGATTGGGTAAGCACGACAACCATCTTGCTCAAGATTTCTCTAAACATCTTTTTCTTGTGAAAACAATTAATAAAGACAGTTTCACTCAAACTAAATTATTCATAGCAATTTATTAAGTTCCACCTAATATTTTGATTAGGAACCAAACAACGGAAGTATATGGTATTCCTAGCATTACATTTGCTTTACAGAATAATTGCCCAGATGTAAAAGAAATAATTGTTATCGGAGTACAAACATCTTTAAATTAAGGTGAATGGGATCCTGCAGAGATTTGGTTCTTGGCCCAGTGGTACTTTCTATTCAGTTTCCAAGAACAACAGCCAAAGCAACTTTTGAAAGAATCTGAAGATGACAAAATCTGAGTGGTAGATGACAATGCCACCATTTAAACACAACTAGACGAGCTTGCCCTGTATGACTAGCTTGCACAAACACAAAAACAAACAAAAAAGTGTAGTAAGAGCAAGGAGTGTAGGCCACATGCGTAGAATGGGGAAAGGCATCCTGAAAGCAATTACTTGATTAGAAACCTAAAGTAATTTGACATATGTGAGGAATTTTGAGGCAAAGGATTTCTGGGAGGCTGGATGGATACAGAAGCAGGTTCTAGTAGGAAAAGTGAGACAGTCAAGAGGCAGACAGCAGTATGTACTAGACCAGAGGAGAGAAAGACAGAGTGGGGATTTGAGGCAGAAAGTATATGGTGCCTGGAATGTCTATGGCACAAAGAGAGGGCAGGCAAATCAGGGCTTTAATGAAGGATTCAGGCTGGTTTTCAAAGCATGGCCAGGACTCAGGTGGAAAGAGAGGGAGAGTAAAAAGCAAAAGAAGTGGATGTTCTCCTAACCACCACTCATTCATCTAAAAAGGTGAGAGCTGAGAGGGGAGGAAGAAAAGCTTTTTGAATGTTTGTTCATGAGACAATACCGAGATTCCTTCAGCCAAATGAAACAGCACAAGGAATCACAATGCTGACTCATTGCATGATATTCTAACAGGGATTTGTAAGTTGTAAGCAACGCAAAAATATAAGACAAACAGCAAGACCAGAACACAATGAGCTAGGCAGAAACCTAGGAAGAGTCACAAAACACGTTCACAACTGCCTTGCTCACTGTAGCCTCCTCATCCACCATCTCCCTACCTACATCATCAAGGCAAGTTTACATTAAACATTGGTGGTTCACTGCAGTACTGCCATTTCTCCTTATTGCAACTCCAGTTCACAGCAGCAAGCGTTCAGGGGTATACCCTCTACTAATTTAGTACACTAAAAGGGTGATAGTAACTGAAAAGAGCTTAGAACGTGGATTTAAAATAAAAAAAAAATTGTAAAAAATGACAGCCTCTAACAGTGCTTTACTGGCAAGATTCTTGTGCCATCTTCACCAGAATGCAACTCAAAAGAAGAGTTGGAGAGGAATCAACCACATACAACACAGCAAGAAATGCTGCAGCAGCCTGAAATAGATACACGCTGATACCTTAAACTTTATAGTGTATCTAAATGCTGCATGACAGACCCAAAATAGGAAATGGAGGGGGCAAGAAAAAAAGACAACCACAAACAAAACCCAGTAAGAAACATTAGTCCTCCGGCTCATATGCATCTCAGAAGCTAAGAAAAAAAATCTGAGTTACCTAAAATGTTTTGCTCAACAGTGGAACTATAATCCTTTTGTAGCACCAGAAAATTTCTATTCCAATTCCATCCTACTGCAAGATTTTTAACTCAACTTTGCAACAGCAAGCAAATTACAATGCAAGTGCTATTTTGGACAACGAAGATACAAGAACATTCTGTAGAAAACAGAGAAATGAGCATCATACCTACCAGGCTTGAATGTAATTAGACAGGATCGGTTTGTGCAAGTGCCCTCTGGGAATATCATTATCTTGAAGTAAAAAAAAAAAGTTTACTTTTAACAACTATTTCAATGTGGATTTATTTATAAACACATCTTTTCAAAGCTAACATTAACTGATTAATTAAAGCTTAAAAAAAGTTTTCAGGGAAAAACAGTTCAGTTAAGAGTTAAAAAAAAAAAAAAGTCCTCAATAAGGAAGTCAAGTAAAGTTCTGTCTTAATAGTAAAACTATTTTTCTTTTTCTCTGAATTTGCCTCTTTCCTGACCTCTGATAATAACTCTATTTGATGGAACATTGACAGTGACCAGGAACACTTGTGAGTACAAGAGAATTTTCACAAAAGGTTTTGGTGCTGGTAAAGATATCATATTCTGCTTTGCATCAAAACAAAATTCCTGCTCCCAAGCTACCTGCTTACAGGCTAAGAAAAGGAAGACTTACTTTCTTTTTGCATTTATTACTTGGCATGTGCACAGATGTCAGAACGATAGAGGCTGAAAATATCTAAACAGAATTCTAACAAGGCAAAAAATGCTCAAGTTGTACAGAATTCAAAGGAAGAGGTTAGATTGTAAAAAATGAATAAATAAATGTTACAGACAGCAAAAAGCCAAGAATTGCTGACATTTTGCTGAGTTACAGAACAAGACATGTAAAGGAAATAAATACATATCATAAGGGGACAAAGAACGGACTAGAATTAACATTACTAGTTTTATTGCCCACTCTGGTACTAGCTTGCTAGATATTCTGGAAATCACCTCGGCTCTGCAACTCAGTTTCTTCATCTGTAAGTAAGAATATTTACTTTTTAAAGTGCTTTGAAATCTGCTGATGAAGTCATGATGTGAAAACTATATATCACCTTTCTGTCACATTGGTTATAACTGTTTATAATGTTTCTGCAGTCCAGTATGCAGATGTAACCACTACTGTAGTAACAATGCCATGAAAGACATACTGTATATTAATCTCAAAAATTCACAATGCTTCAAATTTTCAAAACAATCGCATGCTTCCAGAAAATTGAGACCTTAGGTAGTCATCCCTTCCTTCCAATTACTCTCTTCCAAGGCACTTTATAGTCACATTTCAGTGCAGAAAAAAAACCTGAGCCACTTATTTTAGCAACTTTTTCATCATGTGGTGCAATAGAGGTGCACTCCAGATATTGGAATATCTGAATTGCTTGGGCTGTCTTGGCCAGTATCTCCAACAATGACAGTATGCCAAAATCTTGAGAAAGGCAAGAACACACAATACCCGCTCCAGGTATTCTGCTGAGCATCTGATAATTTTCTTAGAGGATTTCCTAAACCTGCTGTGGTCTCTGTTCATTTAGTATTGCTTCATAGAGCTGTCTTCCCATGTACTTACCCAGTCTCCCCTTGAAACACACTGCAATGAAAAGCTAAGTGTTTTGTACAGATAAGAATCTTACATTATATCTTCCAGAAAGGACAGGGGGGAAATCCCACCCAAACCATCTAAAACATCCCACAAGGAAAAAAGTAAACTGCATATCCAGAGCCTGGAAATGCCAAATACCGTCTGTCACACAGTAGTAGTATACAGTACCTGAGGCCATTTACCATCAGACTGAGCACGCCTCTTTATCTCTTCAACAGTTTTCCTGCGAGAATCCTGGTCTGACCGAGACACAAATACTGGTCGGATGTATTTGATTAGAGCTGAAGAGGAAGAAAAACAAAAAACAAGCAAACCAACCTTTATTTCCCCTTTGTTTGTAAAGGGTTCCCTCCCTCAGTAGTCCTCTGGAAAAAATTCTGGTACAAATACATAACTACTATATTACACTGCAAACTTAACACTAGATGAATTAGTGCAGTTTTATTGAAATATTTTCATGTATTCCTGTGAAGAAAACTGTTTTCACAATTCTGGCACTTTGCGCTTGTTCAATTTTTAATAGACCAATACACATACATCATAGGTAATTTAAAACATGATTGTACATATTATGCATAGTTTTCTGCAACAAAGCAGCTGTGGCTGACTATAAGCCATTTCCTCCTACCACAAGAATCACAAAATCTATATAGCCACCCCCAACCTGGCAAAGTAGCAGGAATCTCCCCATTCAAGTGCTTCCAAAAGACATCCTGCGGGTCAAACTGCCACTATTTTCAGAGCTTTTGTTTTCTATGATAGTTCAGCTTCAGTGAAGGTACACCATCAAAGATATTTCATACACAGATTACATTATCTTTTCTGGGGAAATCAGCATCATCAAAAGAAAAAACATGCTTATTTTCTGAGCTGTCACCTGTTTTCCTGTTCCTCATACCAGATGAATCAAACCTCAGGCACCCTCTTCTTGGGTCAGTGGGAAATCTCTTATACATAGCCAGACACAAAATGAGCATGACCAAGAATCAGAAATTAATTCACAATATGCTCTCCATGCAGTCACAAGGACACTGAGGCCCACTGACAAAATAAGTAGTTTATACAACTCTTTTATAGTATCAAAAAAGTACTAAAAGAGAAGCATCTTCAAATATACTACTCCATGCTTTTATTGAAGCTGTCTTCAAATAACTTATCATTTTTGTATCTTGTAATCTTATTCGAAGTTTCAAGAGTCACTAAATCATTAGCTATTTTATTTGCCTAAAATACATTTTTCATATTTCCAACCACCATGAGATGAGTTTGCTGACACTAGTTGTATAATCTTCTTTTGTCAAGGATAGCCTTGCTGCATTTATGGATCAGCTAGTGCTTAAAGTGTGAAGAAAAATACACTGTAAGGAATTCCAGCCCTGTACTCAGCCAAAGCTGCTGGTTCTGGTGTAACCCCGCTGGCAGTTTAGCCAGCAACTCACCAAAATTCTTTTATAGTTCTATGAAACTAATCCATCACACCTTGCAGCAAGTTCCCAGACATTCAGCCAGCCTCTGAAATACTGCTTTTATCCCACGGGTTGCTGAAGCTTAGGAGACAGTATATCAGAGAAAAGTTACCGTACTCTTGCACTTTTTCCTATATGCCTGCTGTTAGACAATATCCATAGAACGGTACTTGCTAGGGGAGTGAAGATCATCATGGGCCAGCTGGGGTTACTGCTGTGGGAAGGTAAAAAACCCAAACAAACCCACACTCAAAACAAACCACAACACAAACATACACAAAAAAATAGGAACACACCCCCGCCCCCCAAAACAGAACAAGCAATAAAAAATGCAAAGGAAACCATACTTGGTTTCATAACTCTGTTCATTTTGTTTCTTAGTGATGCTAGTCCCAAGTTTTCCCTACTGCTGCAAATTACTATTCTGTAGTAAAAACAACATTATCAAGTAAAAGAAAGCAAAAAAAGACTCAAACATCCTCAGCCTTCACCCTGAAGTTTCTTTCACATTCAGCCCAAATGATGAAATTCAGGTTACTTCAGGCCAAGAAATTAACAAGATAAGAGCCTTGGAGCTCTGGAATTATCTGAGGATATGCTGCAAGCAGGGTCTTCTTTATAAGACATTAAATTAAGCAAGCAGATAGATTCTTCATAAGGCAGTATGCCAGAAACATCAGACTATAGACAACTTACCAATTTTGAGTCTGTAACCACTAATGTAATCTATATGTGGAAACTGGAAAGGCAAGCAGTGTTAACCTGGGAGCTTTACTGTTACAACCTTCCCAAAAGCAAGCTACTGCAATGTTCTAAGCTCCAAAATAACACACTGCAAGCTGTCTTACAAATGGACACCACCACAAACAGCAACACACCCACATGCGAAGAAAAACTATTATGGTATGCTGAAAAAGAACAGACGATTGAAAGCTTGGTTTCCTATGGATTTGTCCTGTATATTGAGTTATATGATACAAAATAGGCTGCAAGGTAAGTTAATTTCTTTTCTCATGGTTCAGACACTATTTTCATGCACCTTGCAGAACTTAGTAACTTTTAAATCATCAGCTTTCTTTCAAATATGCGTGAAGCCATCACTATTTCATCACATCACATCTTAGCCTAATAGACAGGGTGATCATATTAAGTCTTACTTCCTTAGGGATCAGACTAAAAAGCTGACAGAATTCTTGTTTTAACATTAAACAGCAACTTAAGATCCTGTAAGGCACCAACTACCAGGCCCTTAGTGACTAAGTCCAACAATTTAATTGAAACTCTCAGTCATCAGTAAGAAGCTGAAAGTACATACCAAGGGAAGATTAGCTCTGTACTTGCCTTTTCTCATGTACTCTTTACATAACCACTTTTGAAAACAGAGCACAAGGCAATGCAGACCTTTACTCTCACCACATATTTTCATGTCCAGTAAATAGACAGTATATGAGGCAAGGAACATGGCAGGACTAGAGCAAAGTCAGAGTAGGAGTAAAAAGCAGCATACATGAAAATGCTTCAGATGGCTGGTGTACTGAGCAACTAAAGGAAACAAGCAGAACTGTGCAATATGCTTAATAAACAGGACACAACCTTCTCTGCTCAATTTAACCGTCCAAGACCAATTGTAACCAGGTAGTGAAGAGCACAGCTCAAGTATTCAGAGATGCTGAAAGATGTGCTTGCTCACCTCCTCTCACTCCATTAAAACCACCCTTAAATTATAAATTCTAGTGGGCGATGGCAGACAATCCCTCAATTCACAAAACTGACCTTGCCAGTGTTGTTGTTCCAGCTTTTTCTCTAGCAGTGTCAGTCCTACTTGATGTAGTCACTCTCATCCCCAATTTCAGCTCATTACAAGTAGTCCTGAAGACAGATGACACATGCTGTACTGCACCTTCTTAGGCAGGTGCCTGCAATTTAAACAGTACTGCCAGTAATTTGTCAAAACCTCTGCCTTGCAGGGCAGCCAGAATGTCACAGATATGCTAACCGACAGAAAGTTGCTCTAGCATGAAACTGCCTTTTTTAAGAGAGCCTGTAACAATTCACTATTGCTTTAATTAATTGCAGAGTGGCAGCTCCAACTGATTTCAGAACCATTAACTCCCATGCAATCATTTCAAGCACCAGCTGACGCATAAGCAAAAAATGATGAGCTGAACACATACAGTTGGTGTCAATGAACTCCTCAGCAAGAAAGAAAAAGGCATTTCCTCTCTATTTCCAGGCAAATACTGGTGACAAAACCTTGTTTCAAATCAAGGCACCAAGTGCTATTTAACATACAACAGAAGAAAGTTTTGTAACAAACCATTTAAATTATGCTCGACATTTACAACCATATAGTAAAGCTATACTGGCAGCATCGCCACTGGTCTACAAAGCATCAGAGAACACAAAAAGCAAATGGCAATGTGTCACTATATACTGTTCTTCTAAAACGTATCCATACACACATCTTTAGTAGGCAGTTACATTTTTACCACTGTAGAAACAGCAGAGTGACAGATCTGCTGCAAGAGTAGAGAATGCTGAACCTGAGGCTTTCACTTTGTCTCTCCCCCAAACACAAAATCCCATCATACATGTTCCTCTGATACCCTGAAATGGCAGCCTATAGAGCCAGTACAACTGCATCTGTTTACATTTAACACACAGGTAGGCTGTGTAAGACTGGTAGATTTGCAGTAGGATATCCATTTACACTATTTACTCCTTGATTCTTCCTACTATGGGAAAAAATACAGATTATTTTTCTAATAGTGGTTGCCCTCGTGTGTGTTCTGTATTTAGGCCTGACAAAACCATGAAGATTAAAGGTTGAAAAGTGCTGTCTTGGGCTTAGTTTTTAAGAACTGCCTTACTCAAATGAACATGCTCACAAAGTTCTGAACTCACATCTTCTCTAATGAAGTAATTTCTAATATGAAAACTGCTCTTTCCTGAAAAGAATAAAAGATCTGCAAGGGGCTCAAAAGTCTTCTGAAGGTTATGGGTAAAAAAACATTAACATTCCAGAATAAAATGGCTTCCCGTGTATATGGACACAGAGACCTTAAAACTGAAAAAATAAAATAAAATTAACCCCCCCCACACCAAATACACAAAGTCATATCAATGCACAAAACTGAAGTCAACCAAAATTAGGATCTTTTCCATTTGAAGTTATATTGTTCTTACGGAGACAGTGTTATTGTAGTCACAGTACTCTACATGAGATTTGTAAAGTTAGTGGTGGTATCTTATTACAGCAACTATCATATACAGAAATATATACCTTTTTGACCCAAGCCTGAACCAACCACTAAAGCTAAATATATGTCAAGAACAACTTCTGAGTTTGACTAAGTGCTTTGCAGATGGACCACCTGACAGGTGGTCCAGAATACAGAAGAAGTATAGAGGTACATGGTATTCCTGGTACAGAGACAGTGTTAATGGGAAAGTTGTTCTACGTATTTCCAACAAGAAAGGCAGGAAACATGCAGTCTGTAGGACAAGGAGAGGTCAGTAGTGGGAAGTAAATAATCAGTGTTCTCTTTGGCTTTAACAGAATTAAACTCCATGGTATTTGGGTTGGTCTTTCAAAGTGTGATCTATTTCCTTTCAGGACTTCTTGAGGGACAAAGATCCTTTTCAAATCACAAAGATTTCTGTTTGCTCTCACACCTGCAGCACCTGTATGAGGGCATGGCTGTATGTTTTACCCTTCTGCTGCCAGTCTAAAAAGTACTTTACAAAGGCAGTTGTACTGGTTTGCAGGTTTCCTATATACTGCAGTTTGGAACTTCCATAAGTGGTATTAACCA